GGCCACTCTTTGCCGGGAAGTCTTGGCATCAGGGTGTAAGTAACACTGTGAAGGCGCCACACCACACTATGTGCCATGATACAGAGTAGCAAATGCTAGAAGGCAGGCGCCCTCTCCTCTCGGGGGGGGGGGGGGGCAGTTTCCCAGCACCCCACTCAGGTGGCCCTGCGCCACCAGGGTCACAAGCAAGCAGGCACCTGAAGTCCCAACACCAGTCTTTGGGGCTCGAAGTCTGACACCAATTCCAATACATGAGTTTTTTTTAATGTTTATTTATTTTTGAGAGAGAGAGAGAGAAACAGAGCATGAGTGGAGGAGGTCAGGGGGAGGGACTGTAAGTTCCAACACTAATCACAGGCCAGCCCCACCCTTAGATGCTTTCCAAAGTGACCTTATTAGCATAACAAAAGACCATACTATCTCCTTGTTGGAAATTCCCAGGGTTTTAGGAGCTCTGTGCCAGGAAGGAAGACTAAATTGTGTGTGTGTGTGTGTGTGTTTTCCTAGGGGCATGTGGGTGGCTCAGATGGTTGAGCATCTGACTCTTGATTTCTGCTCAAATTATGATCCAAGGGTAGTTGGATGGATCCCCGTGCCGATCCCCCCCCGTGCAGTGTGGAGCCTGCTTAAGATTCTCCCTGTGTCCCTCTCCCTGGTTCATGCTTTCTCTCTCTCTCTCTCTCTCTCTCTCGCAAATTAATTATTTTTTTCTGATATTTGTATATATGGCAAAATGATCACTGCAATAAATGTAGTTACATCTGTCTCCATACATAGCTTCGTTTTTCTTACCATGAGGACTTTTAAGATCTACTCCCTAAGCAACTTGCAAAGATGTAATGCAGTGTTATTAGCCACCCTATTACAAACTCTGGGAAGGTGATATATAGCGCATGACTAGTGTTAATATACCTTATAATCACAATATCACAGGGGCACAAACTCCCGCCCCACCTCCAGACGCGTGTCCACCATCAACGCCGGGCAAAGCGTCCCAGAAGCCACCCCTTTGTGGCCACGGGGATTTTGGTCAGATTCAGGATGAAGGGCTGCCCTGGGCCCCCAGGCCAGCCGCCTCTTCTCTAGAACGCACTCTCTGCGTCAGCGGGCACCAGCACGGGCCTTTCCAAATCTCACGTGGGGCAGCCTCGGAAACTTGCCTTTTTGTCCCCTGCCTGCCAGCACAAGCCACCCTTCCTGGAAGTCCTTTGAAAAGGCCAATTGCTGCATGAGGATGTCATGAACTCCCCCCCACCCCCCCGCCCCAACCCCACGACCCACGACCCAGCCCTGCTCTCACCTGTGCGCCTTCAGGACAGAGACCAGGTGAGTCACCCGCCCTTCTTCCTTTCGTTCCCACGTGGTGTGTGGACCACTCCTCCTGAGCGGCAGTGAGAGAAATGACCGAACACCAGGCCCCAGAAATGAAACTGTAGAAACAGCACCCTCCCCGGTGGCTCAGGCGGAGGTCCTCAGCCTCCAGCTGCCCATTGGGGTCTCCCGCAGGGCTTGGGGACACAGGGTCTGCTGCCCAGGGAAGTCGGATGCCTGAGAATCTGCATCGCTGATGAGTTCTCAGGGGAGGCTGGTGTCGGGCCACAGTCGGGGACCCAGCGACTTAGAGCAGCCGTGTCCTACAGGACATCCCGCGACGGTGGGAACGTTCTGTTCTTTGCTCTCTGATACAGACGGGCGCCACTCCGGCTGCTGAGCCTGAGGACCTGAGCGTCTTTGTTTTCATTCTAATTCACTTAAAGAGCCACTGAGCGTGTGGCTCCCGTCCTGGACCGTGCCCGGCAGGCCTCTGATCTAAAAGTTCTGAGCTGCCCCGTGGAAGCACGCCTGAGTCACCCTCTCCCCGTGTTAAGGGCTGCAAACCCAAAGAAGGGAAGTCCATAACCCATTCGTGCAACAACCCATCTGCGCAGTGCACACTCTAGAACCCCTGGCGGGTCCCCCACTTGGAGAGCTCTCCGCAGGGACGGGAAGAGAGCCGGGTCCAGACTAAAGGCGGCTGCAGCCCAGGAGCTCAGCTTTGAGCCGAGCCAGTTGACCTTCTGGTCCTAGGTTGTGTCACCTGCAAAAGTGCGGGCATGTGCCCCAGCGGTCCTGAAGGCTCCCCGTTCTGTGACGGGGTGGAAGTGAGTGGGGACTTCCCATCCCTAGAGCGCGGCTGTCAGGGAACCCCAGGAGCCCTCGGGATGCCAGGGCTGTGCAAGAAGCGGGGTGCAGGCCTCAGTCTCTGATCCTCTCCCCAAAACGAAACATTAGAAACCACGGGGGAAAAAAATCCCAAGCACTTCTTGGTTTGTTCATTTTACTGCCTCTGTGGGCAAGTTTTCCTTTAAAGAAGGAATTTAAAGGCTTAACAAATGTTTTTAGAACGCTGGCACTGGGAGCCTTCGAGATCTGTATGCTGTAGGCTCTGAGGCCGAGCTGAGTAACTCCAGAGCCCCCCCGGGGGAGGGGGGGACCGGGCCGCCGATTTGCAGCGGGTGCTTTCCTGTTTCCCCGCTGACGCCTTGTAGACAGCTTGGGGCGTGTCTGCAGCTCCAGGAAAGGCACAATGGAGGCACCGCTCGGAGAAGCTGGACAGAGCGACTCCAGCTTCTGCAGGGGCAGCGGGGAACCCCCGTCGGCGTCCAAAGAGCACCCCCTCCTGCCGGCTCCTAATCCCAGTGGCCGCTCCAAGAGGACGCAGGGGCGCCTGAGTGTTCAAAGTGCCGGGCGGGGTCCTTGCAGCCGGTGGATGGGGACATGCCCAGCTCACGGGGCGGGGGGGGGGGGTGACAATGGAGCCCCCACCCCAGGGTGGGCGGGCGCAAGGAGTGGAGGGTCCACAAGCAAGCGGGCTGGGCACATGGGACACCCTGTCCGCCCTCACGCAGGGTGCCGTCCGTGGTGGACTGGCCCGGGCCGGCAGTGGCCATGTGTGTGGGCCAGATGGGACAAAGGTCCACTAAGGGGCTGGTGCATCCCAGCTGGCAACGTCCTTTTCTCCAGGAAAGGCTTGTTTGGGAGTAAGCTCCGTTCTCAGTTTTGTGGTGTTTGGATCAGACGCATCTTTTTAAAAAAAATTTTTTTTTT